TGCAGCAAAAGCAAAATCATTGGCAGCAAAAGCAAACGTGGTACAAGTGCAAGAACAACCCAACAAAAAGAGGTATGATCAAAAGAAAAATAAATACAATTCTAAGAATTCTTTCCCTCGTGCTACTAACCCCGTCTTTAAGAAAAAGGCAATTTCTTTGTCTGTGGAAAGCCAGGGCACCATGCACCTCAGTGCCGTTTTCGAGCAACGAGAAACGACAACCCTCCTAAGGCTAAGGTTAACCTAGCTGAAGGGGATGATATTATTGTTGCGGTCGTTTCTCAGGTAAATATTGTGACCAATGTAAGCAAATGGGTGGTAGACTCTGGGGCTACTCGCCACATATGTACAAATAGAAATGCCTTTTCCTATAATTTTTTTTATATTTTTTAAATAAACTGTTTCTATTAACTTAAAGTCCTAGGTCCCCACCGGTACTTATTATACCTACAATTTGCTGTCCTTTTTTCTTCATGCATCTTACATACTCTCTTAAATAGGAACGTTCCTACGCATAAAAGTGTTTCAATTTGGTTCCACAAAACCAATTAATTACTATTTTCGTTTTTCAAGAACAAAATATGATCAACCCCACGTCTATTGTTGAAGTCTGAAAAGTGATCAATATTGATTAAAGTTTGATATATCGAGAAGTTTGATATATTGAGTAATATATAAATGTACTAACTTAATATTTTATAATTTTAAAATATGATTTAATATTAAATTCGTTTATATAATTAAGTTGATAAATTTTTTTATTTATATATTATTTAATATATTTAATTTAACTAATCGAAAGTTCACTTCACACTTACATTCCAATATTTATATAAAACAAAAATTGTCTTTAGAGAATTCACATCTATCATTGCCTCATAAATGCTAGAATTATATATTTGTATAGATTATAAGTATTATTATAATTTTGGATCTTCTGGTTATTCTAATTTTATTGTTCAAAATTTATTTGTAAATTTTGTATAAAATGACATTTTAGAATTTTTTTTTGAAAATGTTAAATTAAACACATTTTTTAATATTTTCATTTATAAAAACCAAAAATAAGAAGAAAAAAAAATCAAACAAGTTTCCAAAGATTTAAAATTTAAAAGTAAAACTTATATTAATTTTAAAAATAGCTAGAAAACATTTTGTGCATAAGATCCAAAGTTATCTCTCATTTTCCTTATAGACATGGCTTAAATTGTCCTCGATAATAGTGGCACTGGCATGGTAACCTTCCTCACTACAAGACTCCTTTGTCCCCCAACGAGTAGTTGAGTAAAACTACACGTAGTAATTTTTGTGGGTAGCCCCTGCATGCCACTTTTATTAATTTGTCTCGAGAGTCTCTATCTATTTTACCACTTTCAATATAAAAATAAAAAAAAAAAACATTTTGACAACTCTCATTCCTTTCTTTGCTTCCTTAACCTGATCAGTCTAATGATTGTTCACCATAGACTCACATAATGCAGATACACTCTATTTAGTATTTTTTTTTTCACGTTAGTTACCGTATTAAGACTTAAAAAGTAATTAATTTTATTTTAGTTTTTTAAATACCTAGACTAACACAAACACAGTACTAAGTCTTTACCAAAAAAAAAAACACAGTACTAAGTAGTGGTAGCTCTCTCTTTCCTAATACTATATATATTGTTATTCTCCCATCACTCCTTCGTGTGCTTCTCTCTTCTCGTGCCTTCCTCACTTTATAACACCCTTTACCCCTTCTCCTCGTGTGACTCTCTCTTCATCAAAACAAAACAACCTTATTCTCAGTTTCTCAAAAATATCAATCAACCACAGCACCCAATATCTCTCAGATGATGCCCCCTCAGCAAGAAACCGCCGTCACATCAAACATTCCGGCCATCCCCAACCGCCCGGAAAACAGCTCCGTCCATGCCGAACCACCGAGCTCCGCCACCCATCATGACACCAAACCCACTTTCATCACCAATGACAACACTCACAACATTAATAATTCTCATCCTTCTCCTTCACCACCCAGATTTTCTATTCTTCGCCAATCCATGCGCCCCATTACCCTCAAAGTACTCATCTTTTTCCCAACATATTCATTCTTTCATTTTCTATGTTTTATTCTTTTCGGTATCTTTTTTCTCATCATGCCTACTTTAGTATCAAATATTTAACACAAATTTAGAAGAAGCAAAAACTTTCTCTATATGAATAATTTTTTCCTCTTAAGCTCCTAAAATAAAAAACTGTTTCTTTAAAATAAACTAAATCAAAAGTCATAGAAATGGTTTTTTTTTTTTATAAAAAAAAATCACTTTACAACATACATGAATGATAAATTTGTTGAATTGTACGATATTTATCTGGTTAGATATTAAACTCGTAAAATGATTGAATCAATATGTAATTAATTGATCATGTGTTTTGTTTAGTTGGTCGATCAGTTAATTATGTTGTTTTAGTTTCTCTAACGTTGTAATATTTTTGCATGCTAGTTTGAGGATGTTTCCTACACCATAAACTTTGGAAGGGACAAGAATGGTTGTGTAGCTTCTCAAAAGCCAAAGGTTACAAGGACAGTGTTGAATGGTGTGACGGGTATGGTGGGACCCGGCGAGGTGATGGCAATGTTGGGCCCCTCAGGGAGTGGCAAGACCACCTTGCTCACCGCCCTCGCCGGCCGTCTCGCCGGAAAACTCTCCGGCGCCGTCACGTACAACGGCCACCCTTTCTCCAGCTCCATCAAACGCAACATAGGGTTTGTGTCACAAGATGACATATTGTATCCTCACCTCACCGTGCTCGAGACTCTAACCTATGCTGCCATGTTGAGACTTCCCAAAAGTTTGACAAAGGAAGAGAAAAGGGAACAAGTTGAAATGATCATTGTGGAACTAGGGCTATCCCGGTGCCGGAACAGCCCGGTTGGCGGCAGCACCGCCTTGTTCCGGGGGATATCCGGCGGGGAGCGAAAGCGGGTCAGCATCGGGCAAGAGATGCTGGTGAACCCTAGTTTGTTGTTGCTCGATGAGCCGACGTCAGGGTTGGACTCCACCACGGCCCAGCGCATCGTGGCGATGCTCCAGAGCCTCGCCCGATGCGGCCGGACCGTGGTGACGACCATACACCAGCCCTCGAGCCGGTTGTATAGGATGTTTGATAAGGTGGTGGTGTTGTCGGACGGGTACCAAATTTTTACCGGGCCAACGGGTCGGGTCATGGATTATCTCGAGTCCATTGGGTTTGCACCCGCTTTCAACTTCATGAACCCGGCTGATTTTCTGCTTGACCTCGCTAATGGTAAGTGATTTGACATAATTTTGAGAATATCAGATGTTTCATTTTGTGAAAGTGACATGGGAGGAAGTTTAGGATTTTGTTTTGTGCATGTTAATTTCTCAATGGCACGATTGACCCATTAGGTAATGGGCACCATGCATGATGTCCAAAAGAGAGTGTGTTACACTTGGTCGTTATTAGGTAAGGGTTCATTTTCATAAATAAATAATGCTGGTGCAAAAGGGTTGGAGTTGCTTACCCATGAACCTTGTTTTCAAGGTGGCAATTGCTTATGGGTCATTAGGAGCAGTGAATTGATTAGACTATACCATAATCCCTCTTTGGTCGGTTTCACAACATGTGAGTATCTTTTGTGTAAACGTGGATCAACACACGAGAGAACTTTATGTAATAAATGTTAAATTAAAGGTGGTCAATGTGGTCCAATTCCCATGACCTCATAAAGTTTTATTAGAGATACGTATATGTTTGGAATTGATTTGGGCTTTTACTTCCAATTTGCCCTGAAATCTTGCCCCCACGTTCAGATAGATGGGCTCATTTTCAAATCGTAATTGCTTACAAAAAGACATCACAAACGGCTCATAGAAGGGTTTCTTTTTGAATTTTGAGATATAATATTCCTATATCCTATTATAATTTTTTATAATTCTCTTTACAATTTATTAATTTTCTTTATCTTTCTATGGTATCAATCATTTTATTTAATGTTTTGCTTTCTTTTCCCCCTTTTCAATCATAAGTGTTTGTTATTCTGTTTTCAATAATTTTATTTATTTATTCATTTATTTTCAGTGAGTTTATTCTTTATCTTTAAGGAAAATGATCATTCTTTCATATAAATTTATCTTATAAATCTCTTAGACACAGACTGATTTGAATTATTTAAAATTAGATATTATTGACCTAAGATATTATTGTTTAATGACTCTTATTTCTTCGAATTTACCATACTTTTTTCCTCATACCTTTTCCAACAACTTTTTTTCTCTCTCTCTAAAAGTAAAAAAGCTCCTTTGACAGAGTAATTTTTTGTCTTTAATATGGTACATGCATTTAACACAGCCTTTAAATTTACCATCGGTGGTCCTTATGTACTGTGAGCGTGAGATTAACAATGCTATAAAAATTTAAAAGTTTGTTAAATCTTAACATTGAATTTAATGAACAATTAAACTCAATTTCATAGAATTTTAAACAAGATATTTGAATCCAAAAAATTATGACACTGGAAGCATCTTCAATCATGATTTTCATGATCATGCTTAGATTTCAGTTTGGTCATGACAAAAAAAGTTGACAACATGAATTGAATTTCTAGAGAGACATGCAAAGGAAACCTCTAATTTTTTACATTCTGTGGGTTTGCAGGCATAGTTGCTGATGTCAAACAGGATGATCACATAGATCATCATGAGGATCAAGCTTCAATCAAACAGTTCCTAGTTTCATCATATAAGAAGAACTTATACCCTCTTCTCAAGCAAGAGATTCAACAGAATCAAAGAGGACTGGTATTTTCTACTTCAGGAACACCTAGAAGTAAGTTAAAATTTCTGGTCCTCTTGTCATTGTTTTTCCTTTATAGCATTAGAGAACAGGGCAATAGAATAAAAGTATGGTTAAATGAGTAAATAATTAATCTTTAAATGCATGTTTGGTAGGTTCTGAGAACCAATGGACCACTAGCTGGTGGGAGCAATTCATGGTTCTGCTTAAGAGGGGTTTAAAGGAAAGGAGACATGAATCATATTCTGGCTTAAGAATTTTCCAAGTCTTGACTGTCTCTATTCTCTCAGGACTTCTGTGGTGGCATTCTGATCCCTCGCATATACAAGACCAGGTATCTTGAACCTATGTTTAGTTTTGGTTTCTTGGTTCTTTTGTTTTTGTAAAAAATAAATGGATATTAAGTGTAAAATACTGTTTAGGTCTTTAAAAATGTATGTAATTGACACTTTAGTCTCCGAGTATATAAATTTAAAAATAGTTTCAGAAATAGTCTAAACTTCAGATAAACATGTATCTTAAATGATAATATTAACATATATTTAGAGACTAAAATAACAATAAGTAATTATTTTTAAAGACTTAAATAAAACAAGTAAAACTTTGAAGGACTCTTTTTTAATTTCTTTACTTTCAAGGATTGAAGTCTCAGTGATATGTAGTTTCATGAACCTAAAAGGTGTTATACCCAAATATTAAATAGGACAATGATTCAAAAAAAAGGAGTTACTTTCCCTTGTAGTATACTAATGCTCACAACAATGTTTATTTTGTTGTAACAGGTAGGTCTGTTATTCTTCTTCTCAATCTTCTGGGGGTTCTTCCCTCTCTTCAATGCCATCTTTGCTTTTCCTTTGGACCGGCCAATGCTGAAGAAAGAAAAATCATCAGGCATGTACCATCTATCTTCCTACTATGTAGCCAGAATGGTAGGTGACTTACCAATGGAGCTTGTGCTTCCTACCATCTTTGTAACCATCTCTTATTGGATGGGGGGTCTCAAGCCATCTCTGGTCACATTTGTGTTAACCCTCTTGATCATGCTTTTCAATGTGCTGGTTTCTCAAGGAATAGGCCTAGCACTTGGGGCCATTCTAATGGATGTCAAACAGGCCACAACCTTAGCTTCAGTAACTATGTTGGTGTTTCTTCTGGCTGGAGGGTACTACATTCAGCAAATGCCATCCTTTATAGCTTGGTTGAAGTACATTTCTTTCAGCCACTATTGCTACAAGCTTCTTGTTGGAGTGCAGTACTCAGTGAATGAGGTCTATGAGTGTGGACCAGGGTTGCATTGTAGGATGAGAGATTTTCCTGCCATAAAGTGTCTAGGGCTTGATGGTTTGTGGGGAGATGTGGCTGTATTGACTGTGATGTTGATTGGATACAGGGTTGTGGCTTATTTGGCTTTAAGGATGGGGCTGCATCATTAATTAGAGACTTATTAGTAGATTAAGGATTCAGGGAAATAATATTGATTTACATCTTTGTTGTTCTTATCATTGTCTCAGTTGAAGTAGTAATTCAATTCAAGCTACAAGGGGCACATTTTAAATCCTTCTGATTAATTGAAATGAAATGAGGCAATTAAAATTTGTTTAGCTGTAGTTCATATTTTTCATGTAACTTTTACTGTAATTTCGAATGCAATGTATTTTAATCCTAGTGATTTATTGATATGAAATGAAGCATTTAAGATTTATATAACTATATAATCCACATTTTTTTATGAAATCTTTATAGTAATTTCAAATGCAACATATTAAAATGAAAAGAAATATAGTGAAATTAGGAGTTGGTGATAAAGCTAGTCAAGGCAAAATGCAATGTTCAATCAAACAGAAAATAAGGAATTAGAGAGAGGATATCGTAGACGGCAGAAAAGTATTAGTAATGAGTGACTTTATAGTTTATAGAAGGTTCCCTCAGCATCATCCATCACAATCTCAACTACCAAATAATGGCCTTCATAAAAATGTTGCAGAGTAGGAGTTTTATCTTATCAAATATATTAACATATTAAATTTTCCTTGTATTTCTCTCATCTTTGAACACTTCCTTTATATATATTATATATGCAAGCCAATATGGTTAGCATTAGCGACGAGCAAATAATTATAGCAGCAATGTGATTGCTGAGGCCTCAAATGCATTTTAGATTTTTAGGTACTAAAATGTCCATGCTGGCATCAAAATGTCGCTTTTAATCTTTAACAAAGTATAAAGTTGGAAATTAAATCATTAGTAATGAGAAGTCTCTCTTTTTTCATTTTCTGTCTTTATTTATCTATCAGAATGTGCATTTATTAATGATTCCTTGAAAACATTTAACATTGAAATATTAATTTAATTAGTTGAATGTTCATGTACACCTTCTGTTTTAATGAATTTAAATTGGAGCAGTGCTGATAATGATTGTAGGAAAATGATTTGATGAAAACAATTAGTTATGAGCATTGAATTAGAGGAAAGGTGTTTATATATTTTATATTTTCAAGGGTAATGATAAATATTTTATGTCTCTGACCCTACTACTAAGAAACCATCCTAAAATTTTGAAGCTGCTAAGGAAATGCATGAATAAACACACACCATATATCTATTTTCCAAACATTTATTGATATAAACCGAGTGAATTGCGAATTTAGTTTCTTAAGGATCAAACAAACTAGTCCATGAAATTAATAAAATGGTCAATAAAATTGCAAATCATCAATCAATTTAGTCGTTCTGTTATTAATTTATGTGCTCTAACACCGTTAAAAAGGACGGTTAAGTCCGTCTAATCATACATGTTTCACATAATTTGATTACAAGGGTTAATGGGGTGACATTTTCTCAATTGGTAAATTAGAAGACTAATGCGAAGGTAATGGGGAAAAGCCAAAGGGGAAGAACAATGACACATGGAAGAGAAGAACCATTTATTAAACTAATGTATCACATTTTCATCTATGTGACGTGGTAACCACGCACTGTAATATGCCAGCTCAGCTTTTGTAACAACATTATATGGCACCGGTTAATAACAAATGGACTAAATTGATAGATGGTTTATAATTTGCGGGCACTATGGTGCCATTTTGTTAATTTTAGCACCAATTTGATTGATCATTACGATTTTAGGAACTAAATTTCGAATCACTCTATTTAAATCTCTTCAGTCCTAAGACACATGAGGTTAACCTGATAATCTTAAGTTCGATTTCAGTTTGTATTAAAATAATGAAGTCACATCCCACGAGCATAAATTAGTTTTTTGTTGTTAACTTTGAAACACCGCATGGATCATGTTTATGGAAGAAAAAAAAAACTTCAGTCCTTCATCAGATATATTTCAGACAAATGATTTCTCAACAAATACAAAAGTATTTACATGTAAAATTTATAGTGTCATTCAATCCTAGAGTTGGTTTATGAACTGTACCCTTTTACCTTTTGACAATAAAAACTACTTGTGTAATAAATTATGCAATATAGTTAATCTATTGAAAAATTCAAGTTCTCTAGGAGCTAGAAAATTTTCTTGCTCTGTGCTCTTATACCAGCTGCATGCGCCATCATTGTCTGATGTCCTCTTTAATGACTATTTGGGAGTTTTATCCGCAGATACCATGTCATGTATTTTTATTCCATTCCTCATGTATGTATGACCATCTCACTCACTCATATTCACTCACATTTGCTAACCTTTTTGTTAATTTAAGAGTAGGTACCCTCATTCTTTTTCCACCCTTACAGATTTGAGATTGTAACTAACAAATTCACAATAAAGGAGCAGGAGTTATGAAGGGAATCCTAGGTATGAACAACAATTTTAATAATGTGATTAATTTGGCACACATCAAGTTGTACAAAGCAAGGAAAACCTCTTCCTCCAAAGAACCTTATGAAAGTTTCTCTAATTTGTTCTTAGACCATAACATGCTGCTTGAATAGTTGAATTTTTCTATTGTTTTGTCCTCTGTGAGATGGGAAACCAATAGCTTTTAGCTAGCCATATTAAAAAAAATGGTCTATTTCTAACAAGAATTAAAATATCAATATCCAAGAAGCCTTCATCAGAACAGTACATGGTATTCATTTCTCAGTGGCATATCTGTTCAAAACGGTTTGCATTTCCTTAATGGCATCAAAAATATTGTAGAATATATGAATCCAATAATATCTCTTAAAATTGCCTTAGGTAAAGCATCAGATGCTACAGCATCTCATCATAGGCCTCCAGTTAAGTTTATTCCATTCCCCCAAGAAGGTTGGTTGCTGCCAATTTGATGGAAAAACATTGAACTTGTGAGGTCATGTTATTCTCAAATTCATCCATAAAAGGATGTCTCATGCACACACCTAGATATAATTGTGAGAACACTTTAAGAAAACTAAGACCACTTTTCTTAGAAGATAATTGTAACATGGCATCACTCAAAGCTGAGAAACCTGTTGGCTCTCAGTCACCAGAGCAGGTTAAGAAAGAACCTACAAAACCTAGTGGTAGCACTCGAAAAGCTCCAGCTTCCAAGCCAACTCCAAAGAAAACTGAAAAGAGGTCTCGGCCTAAAAAGAAGGTACATATCAATTTAAGTTTGTCTTCATAAAATAGTCATGTGATAATTGATGCACAAAGTTAGTACTTATTATATTGTATAAATTTATTTAGAATGCATACATAACATAAAGGATTTAACATGGTCAACCAATCATAGATTTATTTTTATTTTGCAAAGGCCCCATGTATCCTCTATTAGAGACAATCAATCATGTTTGAGTCGAGCAAACAACCAATAGATTGTTATATCATTTGTTCCTTTTTTGTAATAACTATTTAAATTAGTATACTCTTTCATTACTTGATGTTGTAAAAAATTTTATGCTGAGAGCGTATCCAAATTAAGCTCATACTGCATACTCATGAATATCTTGTTTATATTATTAGACTCTATTCAATATATGTTGTTCATCAACATAATCTTTTATGGTTTTCAGGCAAGCAGCAGTAAATAAGCAGATATATCAATAGTTGTTGGAATCTTGTGGAGAGTTTGTATACATGCTGTCATACAGGGCTCTTCCATTATGTTTTGCTTCTAGTACTTTACCACTTGCTTTTGTTGCTTAATAGTCATCTGCATGTAACTCGAGTTTGCAAGCATGCTATCATATAAATAAAATATACTTATTAATTATGGAGACAAGAGATGGTTCAAATAGGTTCTTGATTAAACATTGTGTACGTATTTGCAAATTCAACAACAGAATGTGTTTGACATATTTCTCAACTCTCTTTAAGTAAAAAATTGAACAATATCCCGAGTGCCACTTGCTCTGAGAACAAACTATTATAGACTTTACTTAATATATAACTGTGTACATACATGTATGAAACATCGGCTCCAACACAGACACTAGATACGTCATGGAGACAAACACCAAGATACCGTTAATACCCAAGTTACAGGACACCGGGGTCATGCATGTATATATTCACCTTATAAAAACAAAGTTGTTAACTTACAATTTTCTTATGATAATGAGCTTCGTAGACAAAATACTATCATATATAGATTTTGGTGAAATAACATCATGTATATACAAATTAGAATAATTAACTTAAACGAGATTGTTTTTAAAAACTATTATTCGATCAACTTATTATTTCATTATATAAATTAGTATAATTTTTTGAAGGTTAAAAATCTAATTTGGTCTCTTATAATATTTTTTTTGTTTCAATTTAGTCCCACTTTAATTTTTGGTTTCAATTTGGTCCCAAAATAATTTAAATTATTGTAATTTGGAATTTCTGTCCAAATGATTTAAATGAGATTAACTCCTGGTGACGTGGACGCCACTTGGATAGGACGTGGATGCATACGTGGATGCGTAATTTTTTTATGCATCTGAAACTAGAACAGCCCGTTCTGAAACTGGAACGGGCCGTTTTGGTTGCACTCATGGTGCGTAAATATTGCATCAGGAACGGGCGTTCTAGATGCATTATTTAACACCAACGAGTGCATCAGAACGGACCGTTCTGAAATCGGAACAGGCCGTTCTGGTTTCCAAAACGGGCCGTTCCAGACTGCCAACCAACACACAATGTGGTTCAAAGATCAAAGGCAAATCATTTACACATACATAATTTTTTTTTATCTAAAAAATAATATATTTTAAAAAATAAAAACTTTTGTGCTTTCTATTTATTGTATATGTTGATAAAAAAAATCAAAATTGTAAAAATTTATATCACATATCAAAAACATCTTTATATGATAAATAAATTAAATTAAATTTTTATAAGATTTAACATATTTATTTTTATGTTTTTATGAGTGTTAAATTATTATTAAGTAAGTTTTTAAGATTGTAGTTCTAACCAAACATTTTAAAAAATGTCTATGACAGATAAATATATCATATTAATAACATGTATTTTTAATAAAAAGGCTAAAAATCTATTTTGATCCCTTATAATAATTGTTTGTTTCAATTTAGTCCACTTTTATTTTCGGTTTCAATTTGGTCCCAAACTAATTAATTGATTTCAATTAGGTCCCTAATAAATTAATTGGTTTCAATGTGGGACTTCCGTCCAAATTTCTTTAACGGTGCTAACTGTTGGCCACGTGGATGCCACATAAGTGCATAGGTCGATGCCACGTGGATGACACGTGGATGCCAATTTTTTTGAAGATACCTGGAACCAGAACGGCCCGTTCTGAAACCAAAACGGGTCGTTCTGGATGCACTCATGGTGTGTTAATTTTGCATCTGAAACGGGCCGTTCCAGATGCACAATTAACACACCAAGAGTATAGCAGAACGGGCCGTTCTGAAACCAGAACGGCCCGCTCTGGATTCAGAACGGGCCGTTCTGGATTCAGAATAGCCCGTTCCAAAACTGAGAATAGAATATTATTTATTAATTTTATTAAAAAATATAATAATTTTAAAAAATAATTTTTTATGGTAAAAATTTTTAAATTACTTATTTTTATAAAATACAATTATCTTATAAATAGAGTAATAAATTTTTCTTTTTCTCTTTCTATCTGAATAAATATTTAAGTGTCACTTTATAATATTTTGTAACTTATTTAAAATTAGAGGAATAAAATGATAAAAATTAATAAGATAAACATAATAAAATTATTAATTTATTTTCTTTTAGTGTCCTCTAAATTTTTACATTCATTTAAAACAAAAATATTTTGTATGTTAATTTGAATTAATTTAACGAAGTATCATATGATTTTTAATTTTTTAAAATTTTTATAAATTTGATCTATACATGAAAAACTTTTTTATTTAACAATTAAATTCTTAAAAATTGATATAGAACATTAATTATTAAATAGAATAAATTTATAAAGACTTATTCTTGAAGTAAGTAAATTTTTTCTTCATTAAAAATAAAGATAATTTTACCACAAAATAAAAAACAATTAAACAATAAAATAAAATATAAAAAAATATTAATATATTTATTACATTAGATATAACAACATAATTAAAATATAATTAATAATATATATTTTATAAAATTATTAATATTTTATATATAAAAAAAAGAATGAAAAAAATTTTAGTGGGGGCAAGTGCCCCCACTATGATTAACTTAGATCCGTCCCTGCATGTGGTTGTGTGGTGAAATGTTAGTCCTGTGTATCCTCTTCCTTTACTTCAGGTTCTACCTCTTCAAGAACAGGTTGTTGTTGTTGGGGTACATCGTTAATGACTTCAAGGAAAAATACCATGTCATTTCATCCTTTACTGTATAGTGTCAATTTGGTAGTAAGTGGTTCACTCCAGTTTGAAATGAAATAAAATCTGCTACCATTGTCTTTAGTGATACATTGCATTGTCCTTAATAATACACTGTATAGCCTAACTGTTTAGCAATTGAAGTTATCAATTTCCATTGACAATATTACCAAATTCAGTGTTTGAAATACTTTGTACCTTAGGTCTTTTTCCTTCCATGATTCACAACCGTGAACTATAATCATTGATCGTTTATGTTTAGCAATCTAGAACCAGAACGACCCGTTCTGAAACCAGAACGAGCCGTTCTGGTTGCACTTTTAGTGTGTTAATTTTACAACTGGAACGGGCCGTTCCGGATGTAAAATTAACACATCAAAAGTTCAACCAGAACGGCCCGTTCTGGTTTCAGAACGGGCCGTTCTGGTTCCAGTTGTTTTCAAAAAAAATTTCCATCCACGTGGCATCCACCTATGCATCTACGTGGCATCCACGTGACGAACAGTTAACTCCGTTTAAATAATTTGGACGGAAGACCCATATTGAAACCAATTAATTTATTAGGGACCAAATTGAAACCAATTAATTAGTTTGGGACCAAATTGAAACCAAAAATAAAAGTGGGACTAAATTGAAACAAACAATTATTATAAGGGACCAAAATAAGTTTTTAGCCTAATAAAAATTAGGTTTAATTCTGTTAAATTTTAATATAACATAATCTGACCTATTTTATTTTCATTCTTAATCGTAATTGTAGATATAAAAACTTGTAAAAAATAACTATAATATATATTTATACTTTTAAAAATTATATGTAAAATTTTTAATATTACAAATATATAAATAAGTATTGCTCCCACGATCTAAAATTTCTGGATCTGTCACTGACTATAACCATCGAGTTTGTGTTTGGCATTTTGGAACCAGAACGGCCCGTTCTGAAACCAGAACATCCCGTTCTAGTTGCACTCTTGATGTGTTAATTTTGCATCCGGAACGACCCGTTCCAATTGCAAAATTAACACACCAAGTGTGCAACCAGAACAGGCCGTTCTGGTTTCAGAACGGGCCATTCTGGCTCCAGATGCATTAAAAAAATTTGGCATCCACGTGGCATCCATGTGGCCAACGGTTCACTCCGTTTAAATCATTTGGAAGGAAGTCCCAAATTGCAATAATTTAAATTATTGGGGACCAAATTGAAACAAAAAATTAAAGTGGAACTAAATTAAAACAAAAAAAATTATAAGAGACCAAATTAGGTTTTTAACCTTTTTTGAATAAGAGTACTTTTAGGAGTTATTCATTGTAAGGAATGTCCTACTTAAGAGTTTATTTTTTTTAATTTTTAATGAGCACTTATAGAAAATTTTCTTAACATCTTGTCTCTTTTAATCTATCATTATTATATTTATTTTTAAAATAAATTTTAATATATTTTTTAAAATATTAGTATTTTAAAAAATCTTATATCGCAATATAAATTATATATCATAATATTTAAAAATATATTTTATGTTTAAAAATACTTATTATAAATTTTAATTATAATATATTTTATATATTCAAAAGTATTTATTTATTATATAAATTTTTATTAGTTATAAAATAAACATTTATCATGTACATTGAACAAGATAAATGTTAATTTTGCATATAATGAATAATGGTTTAAATCGTTTTTGTTCCTTCAAGTATAACACATGTGCAATTTTGGGTTCTAAATAAATGTGGGAGTGTAAATCTCAAGAAAACGAGTTTTGTAAATATTTTGATGTGTTTTGATGCTTGTTGAGTTGTTTGACATTAGCTTAAAAAAGAAAAAGAAATAATAAAAAAAAGAAATGAAATAAAAAAAAAGTAAATAACTTAAAAATCATTCTCATGTTCCATATTTACCTTGGTCACATTACAAACTAAATAAAAGTTTTTTTGATCTTTAATTACATGTGTTCAAAGTTGTTAAAATTAGATGTTAATCAAATGTTGGTAGCGCTAGTTTACATGATGTGCTTGAGTGTAAATACAAACATAAATACATGAGAGTTGAGAGTTAAATACTATCATGAGAGGGTTCTATCATTTTTGGATCATTCTTTAATTTAATTTGTTATGTTGTTGGCTTTAAATGTTATAAATGTGTCCATAGATTGTTTGTGACCTTGATACTTAAAATGTTTATACTCTTTCTCTTTTATATACATTTGTGATTCATTGAAAAATGTTGAAAATTTTGTTCATACTTTCATTTTAAGTTTTGTTTAATATTGAATTTTTTCCAAGAGTGCAAAAGATTAAGTATGGGGTATTTCATGAACCTTATTTGATACATCATTTTATGCATTAATTACTTTGGGCTCATTTAACCTTTATAAGTGTTTCAAATTGGTAATTTAGTTGTGATTCACTTTAGTGGACTTTATTGGTT